CGGACAGCAACAAAACCTGAACAAAAGGAGTGCTGTTGGCCCTGCTGGGAGCCTGGCATCGGAAGACAGAAGAGATGACACAGTCCTGACACAGAAGACTCGCTTTACCAGGTGTGCGTTTCTCTGAGCACCATCACATTAAAGCACATGTGTGGAGACTTAGCATGCATGACAGACTTCTACGTGCATTAAAGCTTACTCCACAAACTTTTTTTTCTACATTGAATTATATTCCAAAATTGGAGGGGATCATTCTGTATTGTTGCATGCAATCTGAAATGAATAGGAATCACAGGAATTCAGGCTGCTGTTATTATAGACAACAACCAAACCATGTAGGGCTGCATGGTGTAGTTCTATTTGTATGATGCATGGGAAGAAAAGACTATCACATGTGCTGTTAGTTCTTCCTTCTACCAACTTAAGGTAGAACTTTAAATAGAGGCCCATAAAAAAGGGAGACAGTTAAGTACATCCACATCTTTGTGTACTTAACTAGCAGGCAGACAGGCATAATAAATATGATGTAGCCTACCAAAACTGATCTTAGTAATCTACCAATATTACACAGTACTTGTGATCTGCTACGGTGATACATCATTATATAGCTCTCTATACATATAGCTGCAATAGATCTGATCAACTTCAGCAGGTCACCTCCAGGGAAGGTTCTCAATTTGGGACAAATGTGAACAATAACTTCCCCAACAGGCACAGAAGAATTCTGTATTTGCTTTTCAGGTGGTGCTTTTCTTGCGCTCAGTCAGGCAGCTTGGGGGAAACCCACAGGTTGTCCATAATAAGGTAAACTTTGAAATCTCAGTTTCAGAGCCCCTACTGGGTTGCCTCCCAAGATTATAGCTGAGCCTCAGACTGCAGAAAGAGAGATTGCTTAAGTCCTCAGATAATTAAGGCTCTAACAGAAAGAGCAGGAAAATTAAGATAGTACAAGGCACTAGATGTAGGCTGCTATTGGGATTAGGGATTAAAGCAGACTTACAGCACACAAGGAGTTATATAATACCTAGAGGCTAAGACGACCGAAGTTGTAAGGGCTAAACAGCATTTGTAGATACATTTAGACTTGAAGCAGTCAAAGATAGGATCAGCTTCGTCTACAGCCATCAATGCATATCTGTTCTGGTAGCTGAAGTCTGTTCCTATATAGCTTAAGACTTAGATGCATCTTTGTAGGAGACAAACAGTGTCAAGCTTTGTTTTATCATATTAAGGACGATGAAATAAGATTATCTTCAGGTTTTGAAGATACAACGCTCAGAGAATAAGATTTAAAGAAATAATCAGCCTGCTGGGAAGATCAGCTTCTCTATGAAAGACCTTACAGATAACAATGACTTTGGGTTTTCTTAGCAGCCATGAAGCATTCTGCCATCTCTAAATTTTGCCTCCAGGATTCCCACTGTGAGTTACAGAAGAAGCCCTACTTTCTCCATGTCCAACAGAACTTTGTTAAGAGATAACAATGCCGAAGGCTGACATTCTCTTTTGTGTGACGGCTTAGAAGCTTAACTTTCAAATACAAAGTCTTCCACAATGTGAACTGTCTAAAGAGGGGGAACTTAAGATCCCAGCCTCTCTGAAGCAATTGTTCTCATTTCCCAAGTCTGCCATTCTTTTAATTGCATCCTTGTCTTATTTCAGAAAACATAAATAATTCTCAACCAAGTACCTGAGGTTGTGAACACCAGAAAAAGCAGAACTCCCTACAGCAGGGGTTGTATGTACCACTCTCCAGATCAGGTGAACGGGCTAGCGGATTTTGAGACCTCTTTCCAGTGCTCTATGCATTCTCCCTTGGTAGACGTAAATGCTATTTTTCCCAAGCGTATAGAAGATCCAGCCCTGGTCCACGTGTTGAATCCATGCAAAGTAAGACTATGAAAGAGAGAAAACATCTAAGACTGACTTTTCAAAGACAGAAAGTACTGCTTATTCAGACATGAAGAATTGGCCAGCACCAAAAAGAGGGTTCTTACCATCTGGCATAGGTGGAAAATCTGAAAAACTATGCAGAGAGAGAAAAACAGTAGAGAGGATGCTAAGAAGCAAACAGAGACTTCCCTCTAAACTACACCTGAGGATCCTTCCCAAGATTTAGGCAGACCAAAGGCATTCAAGTCTAAAACTGATCTGACACACAAACTTGGGAGTTACCTACGCTCCTTAACCGTTTCACCAAATGACTCAAGTTTCCCTGGAAGCCCTACAAGTGTTCCTCTGTATGTATTGAGGAGAGCAGCTGTCTTTATAGACCTGAACAGTCACAACTAAACCCAACCAAAACCAGGCAATATTTTAGTGTCAACCAAGCGCTTCAGTCCAGTAGGCCACCTAGGAAAATACCCAGCTCAGCACAAAACATCCTCAGGAGCCTTAAAAAGACACTTTAGAAGTTGCCCCTTTTTATATACAAGCCCTCTGATGAAGTGTTTCTTCAGGAAGTCCAGGTTCAGTTCCCTCCCCTGCTTGTAATGACAGTTAGAGTCCTTTTCAACCACCTAGAAGAGAGCTGTAAGCACTAAGGTATCGAGTGTTTTTGAATACAGGCACTCTCTTTTCCTCCTGGCAATGCTTTGTTACTGGACCTGCCATTTTTAACAGTTCCCATTTAAAAGATTTCAGAGCACTCGCAGCATAATTCAGCTCCCAAAACTGTCTCTACAGCAATATCTGTGTCTTAAGACAAACTGGTTATGTCGCATGCAAAAGATAAGTCATGCTGCTTAGCAGTGACATGTTTTGTTGTTCTTACAAAGAGAATAAACTCAGAATAATCTCACGTGTTGTTAAGGACACCAAAGAAACATAGCCTATTTGTAGAGCTTTTTTCTTTGACAACAGAAACACTGTAGATTTAAAATCCAGGCCATTTAAGAGTTCAAAGTGCAGTCAGATACCACACCTGCAGACCCGTGATTTTCTGTCAATGTTTAACAGAGTAGCTATTTAAAGAAAATTCCTTTCTATTGTTTTAATATTAAAGAGTTATACAAACACAATAACTGGTTATATACAAAACTAAAACTATTTCTGAACCATTTGTTCAGCTCCAGGTGAATTGGACATAGACACCAGTGCCAAGTTCTGTCTAGAATTTGATCTGGAATAGTTCTGTTCTATTATCACTAGTAAACTCCTTCTGCAAAGATGGAAGCAATTACACAGTTCATCCTGGAAACAGTTGTATTAAAAGTACAGGGAAAGACAGGGACTCTAGCTCACTAGGCCCAGAGCCTTAAAAGTATTTAAGCATATAGCTACAATTTATTTTAGTGGGAGACTAGGCTTGCCACTGCACCTCCAGGGGTCTCAGCCTTATCCTCTCTTAGTTATATTAGCTGTTGCCATAATACAGGAAAGTTTTAAAGATTCAATTTTATTGTTAAATCATGTTTTCCTTGTATGTTACAATTCACAAATATTTTTTTTTTAAATAAACTTATGGCTACCATTCCAGATATATATCAGATCTCCCACTTAATACACTTGAAATGTTGGCATGGGTCCCAGAACCGTAATTGTTTTGGTTTTTCCATTGATAATCAGTTGTATTGACATTTTTAGATTCTAGCTCATATTTTTAAGTTTTATCCTCTCACTCTTTTTAGTGTATCAATGAGGAACTTAATGCAGGGACAATGCTGCATCCATGAATTTATTTGGATAGATGACAGCTACTCATAATAACAATTAGGAAGTAGAAAGTTCAACCTCACAATCCAGACCCAATGAATCTGACTGATACGTTTCTCTCACTACACGAAAGAGGAGCATGCAGCAAACCTTATCCTAATAGGGAGGAGAAAAACTAAAAAGCTAACTTGTTGAATTTTAACTTGAGAACAAGATGTTCCTGTTTCTCTGTTTCCTCTTCAAATACCGTTGGCAAATATACAGACTAGTAAAAGTAGCTCTTTAGCCATCTGCCACAAACTCATCTTTCAGCCAAATATGTATACCTTCTCGGTGAAGAAAACGCAAGTTTTTAATCAAATTTTTCCACAGCACTATAGTTTTATTACCTGAAACTGAAACACTACATAACGAAGATCTCTGACCATAACTGATCATATTCATTAACAAATCACTGTTAGAACCTAAGAGCTTAAGTCCAGTTCTGCTATCTCTGCCTAAAAACTGTATGCTTCCAGGCATGCTTTTCCATCGGCTTCCCCAGTGAAGAGTATGGTTAAAGATCTCTCTTAAGTCAAGTACTGTTACAGTAGCTAGAGGTAACTCTTATTTTTTTGTGCAGTTTTAAGAAATAAATTCCTAAAAGTTGGAAGTTGGTTCTGGTCTTTGAATGTGGTGACCTGATAGCTTGCACTTGACAACTAGGGAGGTGCAGAGGTCTTGCACTTCCTACAGAGCTGATGCTTCGTGTATGTATTTTCTGCTTTGCACCTGATTTCCAGACACGCAGATGTCCGGAATCAGCACCTTTTCGTCTTCAGATACGGAATACTCACGTTTGGAGCGTCCTTAAACTAAGATACATGTATTTACGTGGCAGCTTCGAACTAAAAAAGAACCCAAGTTGTTCTAAATGCAACAGAATCGCCCTACTCAACTCAGTTACTTCAACTTTACTTTCAAATTACCCTTTGAAAAAAAGGGGTTTTACTAGAGCTAGAAGCATTCGCTACTGTCAGGGGAAGAGGAGCAACGCTCGCCTCCGCCGTCCGCAGCAGCGATCGAAGCGGCGCGCAGTCCTCGGGCGTTAAGGGCTACGGCGCAAGGGGAGAGCAGAGCTCCCCGGAGGCTACGGCGAAGGCTCCCACCGGCTGGGACGAGGCTGGGCTCGCACCTCGAAACCTCGCGGGACGGGGAGGAAGAGAAGGGGAGAAGCAGCGCGCGAGGAGGCAAACCTTGCAAGGGGCCAGACAGCGGTCGCCCCCGGAGGAGCGGGAGGAGGAGGAGGAAGAGGAGGGTGTCGCGGAAGGCCGGGGAGAGGGCGGCGGAGGCGGCCGCCGAGGTACCTTGTAACTGAGCGGAGAGGGACTCCTGGTGCTGCTGGTACTTGAGCGCCACGGCCTCCGCCTTCCTCAGCTGGCTCTGCAGCTCGTAGTAGAGCATCGCCCCGTAGATGAAGCCGAAGACCACGGTCAGGAGCAGAAGGGTCTGGAAAATCCGCTTCTGTTTCCGGGAGCACATCCCGTTGCCCATAGTCGCCGGCGGGGCCCCGGGGCCCCCCGCGAGCGCGGCTCAGC